GAAAAGCTGAATTAGATTAGTCTCATTTTCATCTCAATTATTTTAACAGTTCTGCATTTCTTTTTTTTTTAATTAAAAAAAATGTGTATTCATTTTTGAGGGGGAAAGCGCAAGTCGGGGGGGGTGTGCAGAGAGAGAGAGGGAGACAGAGGATCTGAAGCAGGTTCTGTGCTGATAGCAGTGAGCCCGATGCAGGGCTCGAACTCACGAACTGTGAGATCATGACCTGAGCTGAAGTTGGACACTCAACCGACTGAGCCACCCAGCTGTCCATAAAGCTTTTTTAAAATTTTTTAAAAACTGTTTCTGCATTTCTTAATCTAAATTTCTAATGGTTTTCCAAAGCTTAGTTTTAGATTACTTATTTTTTTATGGAATTGGTTTTCTCCTACTGTGGAGATTAAGAACTACTCTTTTTAATTTTGTTATTTATAGGAACAGTATTTATAATGTCTTGGTTTGACAAATATATGGCTTATAAAATTAAAAATTCTTACTTTGTTCATATATTGTCATGACTAAAGACCTTAATGATTAAACGAGAGTTGGCAAAAGATTCTGAATTAAGATCACAAAGTTGGGAAAGATTTTTGCCACAGTTCAAGCACAAAAATGTGAATAAACGCAAGGAACCAAAGAAGAAAACTGTCAAGAAAGAGTATACACCCTTCCCGCCACCACAGCCAGAAAGTCAGGTCAGTATTAAATGTTGAATTTCTTCACATGACGGGGGAAACCATTGTAATCTGTTTTGTCAGAAACTTCATGGAGAGTAATTTAGGTGGACTTTCTGTATGTGAGTGTGTATGTGTTTGGGTGCGTATAGGTATAAGAAACTAAAGGTAAGTGTAAATAGGCTTATTTTGAGCTGAGTGTGTGGGGTGGAGTGGCGGCTTCACGGTATGAGTGGTTGGTGTCACTTGTGTCCCTGTAGCCAATCCAGTCTGCACTTCCCATGGATACACACATTTAATGATTTAACCCTTAATGCTCTCACTCTGCGTCAGCACCATTCTTATGACCACATGCTATGTGACTGCTCAGTTTTGAAGTCTTTAAGTGATAATATCTATCCTTTTTCTAAATTATGAATGTCTCTCATTTTAGCAGCTGTTTTCTGGCTCCTTTTTTTCCCCAGATTTCCTTTTCTCTCTTGGCCATCACTGTTTCCTTTATATTGCCTTTTCCTTCTATCATAGTTGTCCAGCAAAACTCTCAAACTTAATCAGTTCTAAAATTTGTTTTCTTTCCCATAATGTGGCTACTGAACACAGCTGGAAAAAGTCTTCTCTTTGGACTCTATCCACTATAAATTCACGTTTCCAGCCTCAGATAGGTCCTCACCGTTGTCTGGTAGTCTGCATCCTCTTAATTCTTGAAGCACCCCTCCCACTCCTAGCTGATGACCCTGCATTTCAGTTTATGGAAGTATTTAAGACCATCAGGTGAGAACTCCTTCAACTTCCTTTTCTCTCACCTGTAATTTTTTTTTTTTTTTTCCATCTGCACCCAGTCCTTTCTTTACCTGTTCTTTGAATTCTGTCTTCACCTGTCTCCTAAGGGATCTTACTTCATAATTCACTCTCTTGGCTATATCTTAAAGTCTTTCCTCTCTACTAGTTCTTTGTTCTCAGCATGTAGACACATCCCCTTCTGTGTTGAAACAGCCTGCTGTATATTCCATGAACACATCACCTCCTTTCCTATCCCTGTGCTTTTTGTATGTATTTCCTTTAGCTTAGAGTATATTTCCTTTTCATGTCACTGCCTTTATGAATTAGTCAGATTTTTGACTTCACTGTCTTCACCTCAAGGACACTTGTGCCTTTTTTAGGAAATGATTTCTCATCTACCTTATTTCTCATGTAGTTATAAATACTGCTTTCAACAGATTGATAAAGAATTGGCTAGTGGTGAATACTTTCTGAAGGCAAGTCAAAAGAAGCGACAGAAAATGGAAGCCATAAAGGTAAGACTCTGTCTAGCTCACAACATTGATAGTACAATTCACAGAAACTTAAATTCCTACTTAACTATAAATTGTGTTCTCTAATGTATTTTTTTTAATTAATAACGCAGGCTAAACAAGCAGAAGCTCTCAGTAAGAGACAAGAGGAAAGAAACAAAGCTTTTATTCCACCTAAAGAAAAACCAGTTGTGAAACCGAAGGAAGGTAAGTGCTCGTTTTCCAATTCTTGATGTGATATGAAAGTCTGTTTTTGAAAAGTAAACCCATATGAATTTGTCTGAATCTCTTTGAATGTTAACTAAAGAAATAACCATCTTTCATCAGTTCTCTTGCTGCTTCATTAATCATTAATCCTAGGGACAGGAGACCACAGAAGTGTTTTATAATTTATTAGCAGCTGATGCCTATTTCAGAGTCTCCAGATTGACAGTCCTCTCCTAACCTCTGATTGTGCTGGAGAAGGACTCTTCATTGTGAAAGCTCTAAACCAGGGCAGTGAATCCTCTGTAGAGATCAAAGTAACGAAAGCAATGAGGTCCCCAAGCTCTGTTATCATGCCTCTCAGAAAGAGCTTATCAGAAGTTACACTTTTCTTCTCTTTACTTATGTGATCTGTGGCTTAAAGTTTCATTCCTATATTATTAACGATGGATTTCTGATCACCTTGGGCTAAAGGACACCATCAAAGTAGTAGGAAGGTCTTAGGGGCTGTTAAAAGGACACTCCGTGAAAACAGTGTTCTGTCTTCTCTTCTCCATTCCTAGTCTCATTTGATCCATCCTGCCCTCTTCTGTGTTCTCTTTCCCACTAGTAACACCTGTACTCTTCCCTAAGTAATTTTCCGAAGTAGCCAGTGGCACAGTGAGGGGAGGGAAGTCACTGGCATTGTTGTACATGACCTATTGGTCAAGACCAGACATGACGTTACTATTTTAGTTTCCTGTATTACATCAGTGTTAATAGCTTTAAAAGTACTGTATTCTTCTATGTACGTCACTGGTTATATAAAAGTTAAAAATGTCATAAGCATTAGAATTCGCAGTTTGTTCAGGCTGTGAGTTTTCTGCTTAGGACGTTGTTCAGTAGCCAGTTTAATCTCAGTTTATGATGATCTAAAATGTAGCTGTTTCACTGTAGTGGAGGCTTTAAGTCTCTGCTCCTCAAGTTGCTGGGAAGTTTGTCTGATGATATTTTAGCTGGTGATTCTCTTATACTCTGAACACTGTCCTTTACATGGTGAGGAAAAGTTGCATTTGTGTCTCCTCCTTTGTCTTTGTTGTTCAGGCTTTTGGCATTGATGGTTGGATTCTGTTAGGAGGATCTCCAAATATGCTCAGATTATTGTCTTTATTACCAAAATCTTGTTAAATGAAATACTACTAGTCATTCATTGAACTAATATTTGGAAAACTTTATTTTTGAGTTTTTATGTGTGGTATTAGATGAAGTAGATTTGACCTAAAGCTTCATGATTAGTTAATTAAAATTATTCAAGCTGGAAGGTCTACGTGGTAATATTCTTCTTGAAATGTAATTTCAAAGTATTTTAGTGTGCAGAATTGGAAATTGGCATATTAATGTGTACTCTAAAGTTCCAAAATATGGGAAAGAATATAAGTAAAAATAATCCAATCTCAAGTACAATTTAGGGGGAAAAATGAAGTTTTAATATTGTTGAATTCAGTGATTTGTTCAGATAGCTAAACTATAATGCCATTTTCATGTGTACCTTCATTAATGTACTTAGAAAGTAATTTATTTTATGATTTTTTTTTCTCTTAAATGTCTAACATTCCTTTAGGCAGGTGCTTTATATTTTACAACATGAACTTTCACTTATTACAGTACTCTAAAGTTACTGTACCAAATACATATTCTTTATGTTTTATTTGGTAAAGCATAAAGAATTACATATGTTGTTTTTAATTTGTCTAGCTTCTACCGAAAATAAAATTGATGTAGCCGCCATCAAGGAAAAGGTTAAGAAAGCAAAGAATAAGAAACTGGGAGCTCTTTCAGCTGAAGAAGTTAAGCTTAAAATGGAAACAGATGAAAAAAAAAAGAAGAAAAAGTAACACTAAATAAACCCCCTGAACTAGAACTCATTAAGCTATCTCCTTTTGTAAAGGATTTTGAGATACTAGGATGTTCGTAGCCTTATGTGTGAGAAGACTACCCTGATCACGTTTTTCTAGTTCGTGTCATTCTTCAAATCAGTGTTTATATAAACAGCTGTTTCTTTATAAATATAAATTATTGTATTCTCTGTGTGTGAGTTTTTAATTTTAATGCTGCAGAGTGGTATGTATGTCCTTGTGTACCATGCACCTTTTCTGTTTTGGCATGTTTGCCCAAGCATATTAGGTGTAATTTTTTAGGTTGTTTATGTAACGATCTTTTTAGAATGTGGCTATTGTAATTATCCATCAAATCCAGTATTTGCTGCCACTGTTTAGTCTTTACATATAATCATGTCCCACAACTTGGTTTTGAGGAAAATAAATACAGATTTTGCAGTGCTGTCTCTAATGATAATGAGTAAACATTAGGTTTCTTTTTATAATCTTACTTTATATTATGTTTAAGATTAAACAGCCCATAAGCAAAAAGCAAAAGCAAAAGCCTCTTAAATCCCTTAATTACTCTTTTGAGTCTGGGAAAATGGAAAACCAAAGACCTCAAATTGCAAGAGAGTGGGGAAAACCAGATGTTTAGCATGGAAGCAGCATGCAGCAAGTTATGTAGAAATGTTTTTACTAATGAGGGCCAGTGGAGTCGTTTAGAATCACCTAAATCTAGCACATTCATTTTGTAGTTTTAGAAGCTGAGACACACACGGGCTGAGTTACTTACTGAAAGTCACAGCTGTGGCAGCCTGAAAACAATTCTTATTCACAGAAAAGTGGGAAGTAAAAATGAGTTTATTCTAGAGTTAGGAAGTTGAGACTTTTTCTTTTGATGAAGGGTTTATTGCAACATTTTTTTCTGAAATATTTTAAAATAAGAAATAAATACAACCGTTATTTTTTTTAAGCCATACATGAATGAGTTGCGGTTTTTTTCTGGATTTAGTTCAAAAGAACTGAGGGTATCTGTGCTTGACCCAAATGGTCATTATGACACCCAGTATTAGGATTGGTGGACTAACAATGAGAAAGAGAGATAAGTTCCTGTTGCGCACAGATACTGGCCAGTCAGGATACACAATAGAGTAGTAACCTGTGAAACAAACATCAGATGTGCTCTTAAATGTTGTTTCTCATAATGCAGTAATATAATTCACATCGATCTAATGGAACAGTTAAAAGATTTGTATACATACGTGTGACTTTGTCTCGTTGTGGGTTAACTGTGGAGTCAGAAGAAAGAAAAAATACGTACGTTTAAAATTTTATTTTAAAAAGCCAAGTTGCTATTTATAACCATTAACTGTTGCTTTGACTTTATTGCAGTGTTTTTTAAACGTTAAGATTTTTTTGTACTAACTATACTAATTTGACATTTTTAAGTTGACTTTATAAACTTTTTATATACTACTATAAGTGGAAAATCATTTTACATACCACAACTAGCAGATAATAAATACAATTAAAATGAAAATTAAACCATGAGAATTGAAAAATAAAGAATTACATATTAGGAACAGTCAGTGTGAGCAATGTATTAAAATATTTTCCTGGAAATATGTTCTTTCCTGAGAAGAATGATACTATTTATGATCAGTCAGTAATAAAGAGACAGTGACCTCGCTCTCCGTCATTCCAGTATGTCATTAAATTGTCAATAGGGATTTGGCTCTCCTGTCATAATTATTCCTCTCCTTTTACTGAGCTTTATTCAGGTTTTGACATTCAGAGCACTAGGTAGAAAATTCTACATCTGCCTTAGCCTTCATGATACTTTTTTTATTAAATAGATGACGTTTCCATGCCAGTTGTATGCCAGCTGCCGTTGAATTCTGTGGGACTCTGGCAAGTACTTCTGGGTACTTGTGAGCATCCCTGCTTGGGCTTTGGTGAATTACAAGGAAGCTGCCGCTGCTCTACCTTTTTTGGCAGTTAATACCATGAAATCAAGGATGTGCTGTGCTAGTTATATTTTTTCTTACATATACGTTTTTTAAATGTTAAATATTCAACTCTTGAATATCGAGACAAATGGACATTCATGCACTAGCTAAAATCATCCCGTGTACCGCTGATATACCCAGCACATTATGTAAAAACCATGCTGATTTGGCCTCCATGGGTATTTATTGAACCTGCCAACAGTACCTAAAGGGCCAGAAAGGAATTTTTTCCTCCAATATTTACCATAATTTGTCAAAGATGGAATCTGTTAAAAGCTTTTATTTTTTTAATGTTTATTTTTTGAGAGACAGAATGCAAGCGGGGGAGGGGCAGAGAGAGAAAGAGACATAGAATCTGAAGCAGGCTCCAGGCTCTGTGCTGTCAGCACAGAGCCTGACGTGGGGCCCAAACCCACAAACCTCAAGATCATGACCTGAGCAGTCTGCTCAACCAACTGAGCCACCCAGGCGCCCCTATTAAATAAAAGCTTCTGTTCTCTAACCCTTACCCCCATGCAAATTAGCATGTTTTCCATTTTTCTTAAGAGCCCAGGAGCTTTTCGTTATTGGACCACAGCCTTAATTTTCTGAAGTTTCAGAGGCCATTTCAAGATACATCTAAAATGAAAAGCTAAAAAGCCAAAAGGATCTTTTCTTGTCATTGTGGAGGTGTTGTTACTAATTATCTAGATTTTTAAAGAGAAGGAATGATTTTTTTAAGGAAACATACATCGAGATTAGTGCTTATTTGCCAGCCAGACTAGGGTATAAGTGAATTACGCATAATTCCTACTTGTTTGGAATTTAGAATCCAGCAGGAAAGACAGTGAACCAGTGGCAACAAATTACTCTTTAAATAATTTAAAATAATTGTCTCAGTCTTCACCACAGATTTTAAAGAAGCATCATGAGAATTGTTCGTGGGCATAAAAAGTCTCAAAGTTTGGGGATAAAGAAAACACCAAGAGTCAACTCAACATTTGGGAGTTGAGTTTGGGAGGATGTATTTGTGGATAATAGGTAATATTTATTGAGTGCTACTGTATGCTAGGCTCTTGTTCTAAATAGAAGTGTTTTTTTTCTTTTTTCATTGATTTGATTCACCAAACCTGTGAAGAGGCCCCACCATCTACATTCTATTGCTGAGGAAATCTGTTCGGACAGTTGCCTCAGGTCATGGTGGTGGAACTGGAAATTGAACTTGGGCATGTGGTTTTTAAAATGCGTGGTTCTAGGGCGCCTGGGTGGCTCTCAGTTGGTTAAGTGTCTGACTCTTGACTTCGACTCAGATCATGATCTCCTGGCTCCTGAGTTCAAGCCCCACATCAGGCTCTGTGCTTGCTTGCAGCACAGAGCCTGCTTAGGATTCTGTTTCCCTCTCTGCCCCTCCCCTGCTTGCTCTCTGTCTCCCTCTCAAAATAAAAATAAACTTAAAAAAAAATAAAATGTGTGGTTCTAACTCCTACTTTATACTGCCTCACTTGGAAAAAAATAATATGCTTTGTAGTGTTGTAGCAACACGAAAGGAAATACTCAGTTGATACGTCGATACCCTGAGGAGATGTTTGTCGCATAGAGGCTGCGCTTTACTAAGTTCTCTTAACAGAACTGCTGTGAATGAAATAAAGGATGGTCGAACTGGGAGAGAGATGACTGGCTCAGAAAGCTGATCGGAAAAGCGTTGCTGTACTGGGATTGAAGATGACAACTCAGTGTTTATAAATCAGTTGTTTTGATCTTGCTGGAATTCAGCAAACCTTGGGTCTACAGCTCCTATCTTCTTAGTCACTTTTTGTGGTAATGATTAGAGCTACAGAAGAAGGCTATTCTTTGCTTCCCTAAGTTTACCTTATATCTATGTTCATTACTAGGACAGTAAGCCATTGGTTTGATTGCTGCCTGATGCCAGCTTCCATGAAAACAGCTATTAGGAGAAAGCAAACATTTGCATTCTTAGCTCTGTAGAAAGTTCTAATAGTTTCAAACACATTGTATTATTGGTAGAGTTTTCCTTTTACTCACTGCAGAGATTATCCAAACACTTGTCATCATTGGGGCAGGCACTGCAGGTGGACCCTTCTCTGTATGGCCAACTTCTGTATTGTCTATAAAGTAGAAAAAAAGCTGTCCATTAGGAGAGGTGGGTTTTTGTCGTTGTTGCAATGAAATTTGCTACTCATCTTTTCTGCAGGATGGAAGTCCACAGATTCAGAGGGTTGGTGAGGGAAGCGGAAATAGAAGCCTGTTCATATTTGCAGAGTTCCCTCCATGGGACTATGTCTGTGAACCTGTGTCTTCACCTACATCATTTCATTTAATTATTATGACAGTTCTGGAAGTTTTCTTTATTTGACACATAAGGAAACTAAAGCTCTAAGAAATTAACAAAAATTACAGCGTACACATATCCGAGTCACAATAAAACCTAGATTTGTCTGACTCTAGGGCAACACTCCCTCTACTTACTATCTGGCCTGTATACACCACCATCCAAAACACTGTCCATCCTAAGGTATCATGACCCACATTTGCTCTTCTCAGTTTAGCAAGCCTCCATAGTTTGTGATAGAACAATATGTGCTTCCCTATTAAGTATTAAATAAGACCTAGCAAGAAGTTTAATAATCAGTAACTTTAATAACATTAAAAACATATTTTGAGTTATCTGCTGCGAGTAGAATGTGATATGAAAATATCTGATATTTACAAAGATAGAAGTAGTACTAACAAAGTCACACACACTGCTGATACGACTGAAGTGTTGTCTTCATGCATAATGAAATGTTTTTTTTAATGTTTATTGTTTTCTATTTTTGAGAGCGAGAGACAGAGAGACAGCATGAACAGGGGAGGGGGAGGGAGAGAGGGAGACACAGAATTTGAAGCAGGCTCCAGGCTCACAGCTGTCAGCACAGAGCCCGATGCAGGGCCTGAACCCACAACCTGTGAGATCATGACCTAAGCTGAAGTTGGACACTTAACTGAGCCACCCAGGCACCCCAAAATAGTTTCAGTAGAGGTTAGTGAAAATAAAGATGCAACTTTTCTAATCCAAGTTCATGGACTCAACTCCCTTCCCCTAATACTTTAGAAACTTTTTTTAGAAGCACCTTTAAGAAACTTTGGTTAAGAACCAAAGTTAAGGACACATTACTTTCATTAACACCTCCTTTCCAACCCAAAATATGTGTTCTAATCTTATTTGGCTCCAAATTAATTTAGGTTGTTTTAGAAACTCTGTTTATCCTCATGCTTGCTTTACACTGTGGGAAACAGTCAAAGGAATATAGTGATTCTGATAATAATTGCCCAAAGTGCACATTAATCTGGGGATATTTTCATTGTTAAAAAGCACCATACTCTTTGAGAGGGCAAGTTCTAGAATAAAATCATTTATGCTATTTCATTCTTTGTTGAATTGTGAAAACTATAAAGAGGGAGAAATTACTACTTCAAAAACTGGCTAAAAACAAAAAGCAGTTATGAATTCTAGGGAAATGGCACAATTCCTCCTGAGAGAAACATGCTACTAGAAAGGCCTGGGTTTGTCTGGATAGGAACAACTGACACAAAGGGCCCTGATGTATTCTGTCCATAAAGAAGCAGGAAGTTTTAGTGTTTCCCCTGGCAGCTTGAGGGAGAAAGTGTTGGGGCCCTGGGACTGAGGAACTAAGACTTTTTTTTTTTTTTTTTTTTTTTGAGTAATCTCTTTGGCCAACATGGGACCCGAACTCAGGACCCTGGGTCACATGCTGTACTGACTGAGCAGCCAGGCCCCCTGAGAGAAGATCTTTAAAGAAAAAGATAAATATGAGTAAGGGTTCTCAAAGGGTATATTCGTACCCTGTAGATACTAGATAGTCAAGGTTGTCATTTCCTCTTCTGTGCTGTAATCCTTCCTCCCACTAATCACAAGATAGCCTTGCTCAGAGGGGCCCAGGGGCTTGAAGAGAGAGATGTGTATGTGAAAACTGCAGATCAGAATGACCCGTAGCAGCTAGGAGGAGGGGCCAAAACCGGTCTGGGCAATGAATGACTCCAGAGATTGAGTTACAGGTGACTGGAGAATTAAGCACCCTGCACCCCACTCTTAGGAAATCTCAGAAGTATGGAGAGGATACTGGACTTCCTAGAATTATGTGGGCTAATTATGTGACTTTTTGTACATGGAAGGAGGAAAACAAGCTGAGAAGGCAGAAGATAATGAGGACATCCCTAACTGGTCTCTGTGCTCCTCCCTTATGCCCTCCAATCCATTTCCCACATGTCATTCAGAGTGATCTCCAAATGTAAGGCAGGTCTTGTCACTCCCTTGCTGAAAATACTTGGATGATTCCTCTTGGGATGTGAATAAAGTTAAATTTACCATGGCCTACACTGCCTTGCAAAGGCTGAACTGCCTCCTTCCCCATTTCATCTGATTCAGTGATGCAAGCACCCTGACCTGTTTTTGCATCCTTTCCACAGAAGCTTTTCAGGTGTTTTCTGCAGCAGACATCTGTTCCTGAAGTTCTTCACGAGTCTGGTTCCTTTCTAATCTTCATGCCTGTGCTTAAATACATCATTTTATCCAGCCAAGGGTCCTGCCAATTGATAGTGTTGATTACAGTATCATATTGTATTTCCTTCATTACTCCTATCATAATGCAGTTTATTGTCTATCTGCCCCATAGATATTCCATAGAAATAGAAATTCCATAAAAGCAGGGACTGTGTCTGGCTGGTTCTCCTTTGCATCTCAGTAAACAAATATTTGTTGGATGATTGTATGAATCCACGTATTTGTATGAATAAATGAATGTTAACTCTATAGAAGCATTAAAACTGGTTATAAGCTTTACAACTTCTTGTTTATAACACTAAAAGGCAAATAAAGTCAGGCTAAACCAGGAGAATTTTCATTTGTGCCTTTTTATTATAACAACAATAGTAACTATGAATACTTCTCTAATAATCTCAAATAATGTCATACCATTGCCAGGTATTAGATATAGTTGGTGTTTTACATAACTTTCTTGTTTAATTTTCATAGCTACTTGGTAAGTAGCTGGTGCTATTATTATCCCAATTTTTTACAGAGGAAACAGATTCAGAGAGGTTAAGTAACTCGTCCAAGGTCAAGTGAACCAAGGTGGTGGGTTCTCAAGACCCTGTATCGTAACCATTAAGCTATATAAATGTCATGAAGAGTCACCATTGATTGATTTAATGGCTTTGGCTAGTTTTTCCTAGGTTTTCCTTGTTTTCTGAGTTAGGGATTTTAGGTCAAAGCTATTCTCTTCTGAATGACACCTGCTTTTAATCCTTTTACCCCACCTACACTCAATCAGACTCTCCAACGTTTCTTCAGAACATTAGTTCAGGGAAAGAAAGAGAGGCTTCCTCTAACAAATCTTCTGGAATCCCAAAGATTGGTAAAATCCAAACATAATTCTAGGGCAACAAATTAAAGAAAAAGATTGGTGTATATATGGCAAAGAGTTAAAGCTTTAAAATATAAACAACTACCATAAATCATTAAGAAAATCACTCTGGTAGAAAAATGAGCAGACCATATGGTTCACAAAAGAAGGAATGTAAATAGGCAATCAGGTGAAAATTTATAATCACCAGTGGTCAAAGAGATGCAAAAGAAACATAAAATAACAGTTACTCTCAAATTAGAAAATACTAAAAAATTATAATATCCAGTACTAATGAAGAAGTATAAATTGATATAATAATAGGGTAGAATAATTTGGCCATAAGCACTTTTAAAAACATAAAGATGTTCAAACCTTTTACTTAGTATACTATTTCTAGAAATTGTAGGGAAATAGATGTGACTGAAGACTTACATTCAAGGTTGTTCATCTAATATTAAAAGAAAATGCAGAGAACAATCTAACTTCTTCAATAGGATGAGCTGTCATGTGACCATCTAAAGCACAGACTCAGAAGCCAGACAGCCCAGGTCACAGTCCAGTAACATAGACACTATGTCCAGTCCACAGACACTATGACATAGTGTCACCAACTGTGGAACCCTGGTAGACTACTCACTCCATCAGTGCCTCAGTTTTCTTATCTGCCAAACAGGGGTGGTAACAGGACCCATCTCAAGACTTTTCATGAAGATTAAGTTAATATGTATGAAGCACTTAGAAAAGTGCTTAACATATGGTAAATATTTTATCAGTATTACTCTCATTTATTTTTATGGTGAAAAAATTTATATTTATATTTAACCAGCTGGATTCAGTTTACACGATCGCAATTTTGTTGGGAACATCCAAAGCATCATAGTCAGGAGCCAGTCAAACATATATGCCTTCTCTCCATTGGGCCTGATCAGGATGTTGACCTTGGCCATGTCAATGTCATAGAGCTTCTTCACAGCCTGTCTGATCTGATGGTTGGTGGCACCACAATGAACACAAGTGTTTTGTCTTCTACTGTCTTCATGGTCGACTTGGTAGTTAGGGGAACTTGATGATGACATAGTGGTCAAGCTTGTTTCTCCCGGGAGCACTCGTTCAAAGATACTTGGGCTGCATTCAGAGACTCAGTGTCTTGGGCCATTGGAAGGTAGCTGACATGTAGATCTTTTTTTAAGTGCTGTGAATGTCTTTCAGCACCACTTTCTTGGTCTTCAAAGCCTTTGCTTTGGCTTTGGGAGGGCCAGGGACTTCCTTCTTCACCTTTGGCATCATCTTCATGAAACAGTACTCTCATATTTTTATAATTATTGATATCACGTTTAAAATTTTAATGATGTGGAAAATGCTCATGGTATAATTTTAAGTAAAAAGTAGAAACTGTGCATTTCCAGTATGATATCCATTTTCTAAATAATGTGTATGATGCATAAGCATACATATAGAAGTTTAAAGAAAGGTGGGGGGAGGGGCGCCTGGGTGGCTTAGTCGGTTGAGCGTTGAGTGTCCGACTTTGGCTCAGGTTGTGATCAGGCAGTTCAAGAGTTCCAGCCCGAGTTGGGCTCTGTGCTGACAGCTCAGAGCCTGGAGCCTGCTTCGGACTCTGTGTCCCCCTCTCTCTGCCCCTTCCCCACTCATGCTTTGTCTCTATCTCTCAAAAATGAATAAATGGTAAGAAAAAAAAAAGAAAAAGAAAGAAAGAAAAGAAAAGAAAGGTGGTAGGTGGCATATCATGGGTCTACTCTGTTTTCCAAAGGGAGAAAAATTGTATCCGTTTCAAAAACAAAACTTTCAGAAGTAAATGAAATAAATTACATAAATTGAGAAATTTAATTCTCAATTTATTTTTGCTTTGAAAATTCTGTAAAACATGCCAAGTTTTTAATAAACCAATAGAGTAATATCAGTCCTCCTATTCCGTGGTATTATTACCATTTCCAATTAATCTATGTCCCTGCAAACATTTTAGTGTTGCCTCTCTAAACATATATGTTGTGTGTGTATTTATATAGCATTTGTAAGGGGTGCACACAGACACACAAACACACATGTATATATATATTTTTTAAATGTACCAGATGTTAATGGAGTAGATCTCTGGGTTAGAGGAATTAAGGGGATATTAATTTTCTTTTTTACCCTTTCTTTATTATCCTAATTTTCTGTAATGAAGATTAATACTTCTAAAAAAGATTTAAGAAGTTTTTCTTAGAAGAATCGATTTGGGTACTTACCCTGGTCCGTAGTTGCATATGAAAAGCGCGCCGTGGGAAATACTGGTGCCATGAACGCTGGGACAATACTGTACTGCACAGCCCACTTTGTAACTAGCCGCCCAAACAACCTGAAATAAAGATTTGTAGCGAGAGAGAGAGAGAGACAATAAAGTGAACACTGGAGTATGATTAGGACTTCATAAATGTGGTGAGGTGTGTTCACTCTTGTTTAGGTGGAGCAGTTATTACCAGGGGACTCCTAGGTGCTGAGACTCAGTTAGAAACAAGACTTGTGGGGCGCCTGGGTGGCGCAGTCGGTTAAGCGTCCGACTTCAGCCAGGTCACGATCTCGCGGTCCGGGAGTTCGAGCCCCGCGTCGGGCTCTGGGCTGATGGCTCAGAGCCTGGAGCCTGTTTCTGATTCTGTGTCTCCCTCTCTCTCTGCCCCTCCCCCGTTCATGCTCTGTCTCTCTCTGTCCCAAAAAAATAAATAAACGTTAAAAAAAAAAAAATTAAAAAAAAAAAAAAGAAACAAGACTTGTAATTATTATTGGGGTGTGAGTGTGTGAAATAAACATATAAATGATACTAAGATCATTTTGGCATTTGAAATAAAATAAAATAGAGAGTGCTGGGGTGAGGGGCCCATCCTGAGAGCCCAGAGAAGGGGCGCTGGAGGAGGCCTTGGAGCTGAGGCCTGCAGGGGGCAGCGCTGGGGATGACCTCGCAGGAGACCGCAACGTGGGAGGAAGAGCCTTCCGTGTGGAGACAGCAGTGGCACAGAGGCCCTGAGGTGGGACGGCGCGGCGGTGACAGTGGCGGAAAGAAGCAGGCAGAGCTGGGATCCAGTGAGTGGGGAGAGTCATTGGCATTGAGGAAGGAGGCAGAGGGGCAGGTCGTGGGGAATCTCGTAGGCAAGTGAGCACAGGCTCCTTTTTGCGTCAGAAAGATAGCTTGGTTGTCATGAAGTAAACGGACTGAGAAGAGCAAGGGAAGAAAGAGGGAGGGCATTTGGGAGGCTGTTCCAGGGGTGCAAGCAAGAGAAGACGGTGACCCACACTTGGGTGGCGGTCGCGGGTTCCTGGGAATCCGTCAAGTTCATGCTTTAGCTCTAGGTACAGCTGAAAGGATTTGCTTTTGCCTTGAGTGTGAGGTGAGGGGGAACATTTGGGGCCTGAGTAACATTTACTGAGATGGGGGAAGGGAAGGAGCAGGGTGGGTGGGAGTATGGACAGGGCTTCCGTTCAAGTCCCATTCCCTTTGAGACGCCTAATTAAATGTCCAAGTGCAGAGTGACTTTGCTGCTGAATGTGACCGTCTCTAGATTATTATCTAGATCAAGGCTAGATGGAAAAAGGGTGGTGAGTGGCACAGGAGGAAAACCAAGAACAGAGCCAGCTTCTTCAGGGAGAGGGGCCCCACAGTGGGAAGACTCCATACTTGATTTAGTTCAACACTGTCACCTATTTTCCCACATTTAGTGGCATTTTCCCCCTGACTTTTGAACAAGCGACTTTACATTTTCATTTTGCACTAGGCCCCACAAATTACATAGCTCGTCTTAACCAAGAGTGTTTGGTGTCAATGGAGCCTAAAGAAAAAAGCTGTTTAAAGAGCTAGTATCTAGACACTAGAGATAAGCCAGCAATTAAATGCACTCCTTTGGGTGCCGAGGTGGCTCAGTCAGTTGAGCATCCAACTCTTGATTTTGGCTCAGGTCATGATCTCACGGTTTGTGGGATTGAGCCCCACGTCGAGCTCTGCACTGATGCAAGCCTGCTTGGGGGTCTCTCTCCTCCTCATTCTCTTCCCTGCCCCCAACCCAAATAAATAAATATATATATATATATATATTTTTAACACCTTTCCCTTTCTGTAGCCCTTTAGAGCTCCCCTCTACTTGCTAGATGGGATGCTACTTGATTCATGGATTAGTTCATAAAACCAATTAGATCTTTAAAATTTATTTGGTTGAACTTTTGTTCAACTTTTGTTCTCAGTATGAGTCCATCCAACTCATTATCAGGCACTATTATCAGAAGTATGGTAACGCTGCAACATATATAAAACCAGGTAGAGAAACTGTGAAACGTCCCACTTTATTAGTCTGTAACAGTGTAAAAATAAGCGGCTAGCAGTTGGTGGGGGAGGTGGGGATAAAACCAAAAATGCGATCAATGGTGCCATCTAGTGGGCATTCTCAGCATTATCACACCTAAACTGCTGCCCCGCCCATACACTTAAGTCGAACCATTCTGTTACCAAATGTTATAAAGGTGAGCTGCCAGCAATAAAATATCTAATCTCCGATATTAATATACCAAAATTCTTAGTGCAAATCTATCTCTAGTGAACACAAAGCTAAAGTGTGGACCTCATGTGTCAAGAAATATCACATCTTTAGGAGATAATGATTGGATCTAAATCTATTATCTTTACTCTGTACAACCACCCCTCACCAGCCAAAGTCTGAAAATAGCTTGTTTTTATTAATAGAAGATGAGGATAAGTGGGCTATTATAATAGCCACTTGAGGTAATTTCTAGCAAGAATTTACAATGGCAACTGAGTAGTCTTGAATCACCCAGTAAGATTTCTTACAAGGATGAAAACATCAAATTTTAATGTAAAGGCATCTTTAACCAAGCTGTCAAAGTGTTCTTCCTATATAATTGGCGGAAAACCAGCTCATGGAGGAGATCTAACCTTTGTTTAATGCCTAAGTAGCAGCATTTTATTATAACTTACAGACATTCCATTACTTAATCCTTACAATATACCCGATATCTGGATCCCAGCTCTTCCTCTTATTAGTTTTGTGACACTGGGCAAACAAATCCTTCTTCTTTTTTTTTTTTTTTTTAAACTAGGCAAAAAAACCCTTTATTTTTAATGTTTATTTTTGAGACAGAGAGAGACAGAGCATCAACAGGGGAGGGTCAGAGAGAGAGACACACACACACAGACTCCGAAGCAGCCAACAGGCCAGAGAGAGAGGGAGACACAGAATCCGAAGCGGGCTCCAGGCTCCCAGCTGCCAGCACAGAGCCCGACACGGGGCTCGAACTTACAGACTGTGAGATCATGACCTGAGCTGAAGTCAGACGCCCAACTGACTGAGCCACCCAAGCACCCTGGCAAAAAAACTTTATTAGCCTTGTTTCAAACTTTATTCTCAGGCCTCTTCAGTTTAATTAGCTGCAAAGAATGAATTGTGTATAAGCAAAAACTAAAAAACGCTACGCTGTCCAAGGGGCTTTGGCTTAAAAATATTAGAGATCTAGATTTTATCAGATCCATGAACAGAATTCTAAAAAGCAGTCATAGTACAAAATAGCAGCTCCCAGTAACTTCTTCAAGCTCTGTCTTCAGAAGCTGACTCCGTTCAGTTTGCTTCCTTCTTGGAAGCTTCATCAAAATTCTCCACAAGATCTAGAACTTCATTCTCCTCCTCCTCTCCGGTAGCGAGTGGTGCTTTTCTGTCCAGGGACTGTGTGGACAGAGCTTCAGCTGGGATTCCCAAACTAGCCAGACTGCACCAAGTTGGTTTCAGATACTGGGCAGAATTTCTGTCAGCTGCTTGGTCTCAGTATGGCCTGGAATGTGAAAGTGTTTACTGCCCCAGATGCCTGAACTTTAGGCTCGTGGAAGTGGATCGCCATTCCTTGGTTTGTGAACATATTCACTTCTTCAATACCGGAGATAGCATTCACCCCTAACTTCTTTAAGGAGAACTGAAGTTTTTTATCATCTGCTGTAGTGGTTCTATGAACCACCTTCTTCTCTTTTTTTAATGTTTATTTATTTTTGAAGTGGGGGGAGAGGAGCAGAGAGAGGGAGACAGAGGATCCCGTGCAGGCTCTGTGCTGACAGCACAGAGCCCCAAGTGGGGCTCCACCTCACGAACTGAGATCATGACCTGAGCTGTAGACAGACTGAGCATTCGGGCACCCCAGAATCACCTTCTTCTTTAGGTGGACAGTTCCTTTCCCACCAATGCATATTTATGCTTTTAGTTTGGCTTGTTTCTCCTGGTTCATGATAGTTTCTCTCATCTTGTTGGAGCAGAAATGGGACCATGCAGGGGGACTAGGGTTTGTTTTCAGGGGGTCTAAGGTGGACCAGCTGAGGTTAGGTCTACACAAGTGGGCACATAAGATGTGGGAAGACAACTTCCTAACTTCTCTGAGCCTGTTGTCTCATCTATGGATGATAGTGGTTCTCTGACAGGTTTGTGATAAGATTTGAATGGTTTCTTTAACCACGGAGAGCTGAGTACCACACTCACTTAAAAGTGGTTGCTGCGGGGGTACCTAGGTGGCTCAGTTGGTTAAACCTCTGGTCGTGATCTCATGATTTGTGGGTTCCAGCCTCCCATTTGGCTCTGTGCTGACAGCTTAGGCCCTGGAGCCTGCTTCGGATTCTGTGTCTCCCTCTCTTTCTGCCCCTCCCCTGCTTGCACTCTGTCTGTCTCTCAAAAATAAATAAACATTTTTTTAAAAAAATGGTTGCTGTGGATGCATTATGTCAGACCCAGGGGGTCCCTGGACTTCCTCTCCAGGAAAAGGCTTGCTTTTCAGAATTGGGGGTAGAATGTAGTGGTCTCCTTGCGAGAGCAGATTAGGGATCACTCAGCTTGGGCTCTGATACCTGTATGTAAGGAAATGAATTTTCTCATATCTGAAATGTTAGCTCTCCTTTTTTTGTCCTATATTGAAAGGGAACATTTACAAATAAGCCCAGCTAATTTGGGGAGGGCCATCTCTGAAATCTCAGGTCTATGTGATGGATGTAAAATCAAGTTTCCTCCTCTTGTTTTGAGTCCCTGGAAGGACGGACATGGAGTGTCTTAACTGCATGGTTCAGGAGTCTGCGGCCAATATGACAGTCTTTAGATCTTTGCATATTTGTTGTGGTGAGCTACTAGCCATGCTTCTGAAGTACAAGGCTCATTTGTACACTCTGTCTACCTTGTACCCCTTTTCAGTTTTGCCTGGAGTTCTTCTCCTTTTCTTTTTCATTTGATAAGCTCTCCGTTAGTTTTCAAGAACCAAGTGATATGGCTCCTGCTGTGTAAATAACTCCTATGTCTCCATACCCCCCTTTGGCCAGATAAGTTGCTCTGCCCCCTTTGCTCACATAGCAACTTGTCAGTTTCTCCAAATTATACCAACAATGCATTGTATTACAGCCACTTACACATTGGTCTCTCCCCAAAGAAGGTCAATTCCTAAAGGTCAGGGGTCATTGCCATCTGTGTCCCTCATTCCTTGCACCACCCCCATTTCTCCTCACTTTTACTTCTTGGTGATGGTACTCCTCAATTAAGTGTTAGGACTGGGGCACCTGGGTGGCCCAGTTGGTTAAGCATCCCACTCTTGATTTTGGCTCAGGTCACCATCTCTTGATTCATGAGTAGAGCCCCACACAGGTCTCTGTGCTGACAGGAGAGACCCTGCTTGGGATTTTCTCTCCCCCCTCTCTCTGCCCCACACCCCCACTTGTGTGCTTTCTGTCTCAAAATAAATAAACATTAAAAAAATAAAGCGGTAGGACATAAGCTATTGTTCCAGGCTCTGTTTTGCAGGAATCTGCACTAAGACATATGATCAGTGAGTGCCTTACACAGTGCCTGGCATATGATAGAAGCTTAAACACTGACTGAATGAAAGTCCGTACCCTCAAACTGACAATTATTTTTGGAGACTTAAACAGTGCAATGTTGGGGCACCTGGGTGGCTCAGTCGGTTAAGTGTTCGACTCTTTATCTCAGCTCAGATCATGATCTCACGGTTTCATGGCTTTAAGCCCCCTATCAGGCTGTGCTGACAGTGTGGAGCCTGCTTGGAATTCTCTCTCTCTCTCCCCCTCCCCTGCTCATGCTGTCTCTCTCTCAAAATAGATAAATAAACTTAAAAAAAAATTTAAACAGTGCAATGGTTAATGGTACCAGTGCCGCTTGTGGGCAAACTGGATTTAGCTTTCTTGCCTTCTAGGACTTGTGGGATTCTGATGGAATCACTTTTCTGGTTAAAATTTTTTGTAAACATAAGCCAAGATTAATTGTTTATGGGATAAGTCTAGGGGAAACCTAACTCATATTTTCAAGAAAGGGACCAATATTGCTGGTGGTTTGATAGCTCATTCTTGCCTATAATAATCTAGAGATGAAAATTTCACTGAAATCCACCCTTCCCCTCACATCATGATAGTAAATATCTGTGCCAAACTTGTTTCACCTGTAACAACACCAGCGTGATCAGAGGCTCTATGAGGCTGAGCTGCCCTGAGACTTTTTCCAACAACATTTTGCTCTTTAAAAACACCTATTATTCCAAGTTAACTGCCTTGTTAGAAATGTTTGTACCCTCATACCTCACTTCAGCGAATTTTTGTATATAAGAAGCAGTCAGACATAGGTTCAGCACCCTTACTTATTGGCTTGACAAGGACTGCCAGGAAGAAAAGTAAATAAATGAAATGTGACCAGGACCAGGAGGCAGGATAGTAAGACAATAGACATGCTACCCTAGGGACTTGTTGACATCACGTTGCAAACATGCCTTAGGGTTAGGAAACCAAAACCAACCTGAGTTTAAAAAAAAAAAAAAAAAAAAATCTCAATGGGGGCAGAATAGCCACAGAATGGTTTACACAAGTTTACATGTTGGCCTCACCATTGTTTTTCTCTTCCTTGTGTGACCCATCACAGGCTCTCGGTTCATGTTTGAAGGAATAGGAGGCTATGGAATTGATGCTTCTGTCTGAGAGGCTTGTTTCTCCCAATTTTATAGACCCCAATCAACTGCCTCAAATTTTATAGAGGACGCATACCTGAAATCCATTCACTCATAAAGTCCTCTGATTGCTTACAAATGGAACAAAGTGCCCCAGGCAGGCAGCTGTTACCAAAATACTCAAAGTCTGTCCAGATTGGTGAGCCTCACCTTTTGCGTTTAAACACATAACTAACCTCTTCAAGCACCACCCCCTCTGCTATTGAAGTCTGCTCCATTTTTTTATTTTTTTAGGTAAGCTTGTAAGCTCTACTCTCTGACATGTACAGGCACACCAGCTTACTCTATATTTTCTTAACACCAGATTCCAGTTTTCTCTTTGCCTTTGAAGAGATAGTTTCAAGAGAATACGGAGCAGGCAGATACTTACCTGAGTGTAATGGCCACAGACTTTGGTGCATTTCTGAGTCCTGAAGTCGTAGTATTGAACTTCATCGTACCAGTTTGTGATGGCTGAAGATGCAGAAAACAGGGATAGAGACCCAGCCCAGATGTTTTCTCCCAGAGAGGAGAAATTTGGATGTAGCTTGTAGCTTGAATGCAGCTGAACGTTGTGTACAAACTGACAGTTTCTTGCCCATGTTTGTGCAACTCGCGCTAGTGCTGGGTCCCAAGTCTGCAAAAAGAAACGTTAAACAGTAGGAGGGTCGAGAATGAAAATTGGGTTTTGTAAAGATCTTTCAACTACAATAAGGAAAAAGATTTGGAGAGGGATCAGTACAGACACTGGAAGATGAGGAACTGATGACCAGAGGGTTATGTGGCATCATACAGTTAATGAGAGAACAGAAAGCCCTCACCCATCACAGACAGGAATTAGACCTCTTGCTCAACCGCCAGGCACTGAAAGCTGTAAAGAGGCACCACTGAACCTACCCGGAATCAGGAAACGTTACAGGCCACCGCACCCCCTCCCTAATTAACCACGCCCAGTCCCTTTAAAGCCTTCTTGGCTAGGCAGAAACCGTGGAGCTGGCTTTTGGACCAGAGTCTGCCTTCTCATCAGGTGGCCGGCCTCCTGAGTAAAGCTTCTTTCAAAAAGAATGAAAACTGTTACCAAAAAATGTAACTGGAATGAGCAAAGTGAGAATTTGAAGGGGGGAATGAGGCATTATAATGGCGATGACTGAATAGAGAAGGGTCCTCCCTATACGTGTGGTCTCCCAGTGTTGAATAAGGCCACTGGGAAACTTGATGATCTTGTTTTGTGGAATTTAGAATCTAAATGAGGGACACAGATCAGCATTTCACTGAGGGCCTGTTATGTGCAGAATACTTAAGGCTGTGTTTCACATGGTATATATAATTTAATAAACACAACAGCCCCTATCCTGAGGAGCTCAGAAAGATTAAAAACCAGCTCACAGCCACAGAGCCGGCATTCAAACCCATGCCTGACTGATTCAAAATCCTATCCTTTCCTGAGATGCCATGCTGCCTTCCAGAGAAAGTCAATATGCTCTGCCAGCAACAACAGAAAAGTAAACTTAGAGATAAACAAACAAACAAAAAAAGCCCTCAAAAAATTAACAGGGAAGAAAGGGACAAAAAAAGAAAAAAAAAGTAACATTTTCTGACCAGAGGAAAGGAAGCATTTAAAAGGAGTAAAATGTACTTGCTGAGCTTGCTTAGAAAAGATGAGTCAACAGAGCTAAACCGGATTCGTTTTGATCACAGATTGTGAATTTACTGCACACGTTAATCACAATGGGAACAAAAAGGCATTTAGGATTAGCAAGGACTGACCTCTAAAATCAACACACGTTAGCTTACTTCTATCACGAATACTGATATTTTCCTTACCATGTATAGCATATCACTGGCTGTTGGATTCACTTCTGATCGGAACTTGTTATGAAATCGAACACAGTCTTTGATGAAATCTTCATTTTCGACACCTGGCAAACTAATTGCTGTGTTTTCATAGCTGGAAACTAAGGAAACCATCCAGGCTGTCATGGCAAGTGTGGCCCGCATGCTCGGTCTGTCTGGCATGGAGCCCTCGGAGGCTGGAAACCGGAGCCAGTGAAGGTTCTGAATGCGTGTGCCTCTCTGTTTGACAAAGCGTGGCTGATTTCAGCTTTGAGAAAATAGAAAGCAGAACTTGAGTTCATCACAAGTTTAAAGAAATGGGTTTCGCCATATATGGTTTGCCGCCACTTTTGTGCTCTTAACCCTGCCGTTTCAGTGGTTCTCAGTGACACAGCACCTATTACAACATAGATATTTACGAGGCTGCATCAGACTTTCTTTCGAGTTAGGGGGGATACTTTCAAAGGAAATTCTGGAATCTCCAGAAATAACAGTCTCAATTTTTATGGAGGTTCTGGTGGTTAAATAAAAACATATCTCTTACTCCCATAAATGTCTTGCAAAATGCTTTTCAAACTTGTTTAGAGTCATATCAGCACAGTGGTTGGAATATCTGGCTAACATCTTAACTTGACCTAGAATTCATTCACAGTGGTGTGTGTGTGTGTGTGTGTGTGTGTGTGTGTGTGTGTGTGTGTGTGTAACCATGGCAAAGAGAGGGCAGAGAGAGAGAATAGTAGAGAGAGCACTGGTCTCAATTTCAGATTTTAGTTTAAGTTCTGTTCCTCACTAGTTGCAGCTGCCTATTTACTGAATGAAGCAAATAAAACTTTTTCTAGCCCCTTAATCAGAGAGGATTTGGGAGGATCTAATGAACTAGCCAATATATTAACACATATTAAATGTCTGCACTGGGTATTCAGTTTAGTAATAGGAGATAAACACGCTGCCCTCAAGAAGCTGAGAGAAGCAGGAGCTGTGGGGTGGTGACAAGCCCAGGGACAGTTGAAGGTCTGGGTGGAGGGAAGCACCAGGGGCTGAGGACTTATGAGGATGCTTACCCCATTCTGACACGGGTTGAAATGGCTTCCTACAACAGCAGTGAGGTCTTTGCTGAGCTGGAATCAGACTGGTGTTGAAGTGGAAAAAAAAAAAAAAAAAAAAAGGAAGTGAAGGGAATTGGAGAATAGGAACCATATATCTGCTGCAGGCAGGCTGGGTCCAAGGACCCAGAGGGTTCTTGGCTTGAGAAAGGTGGACATCAGATGTGGGCCAGCAGGAGGTGAAAGTAGAGTTTATTGAAGATATATATATATATATATATATATAGAGAGAGAGAGAGAGAGAGAG